AAGGCAGTCCATTGTTTCGTGTAAGCCGGCATTTTACCCCGACGTACTGTTTTTGTGAGCAAGGGGAAATGTGCGCTTGTTAGATGATGCCACACATCCCACCGTCTCCATATTTGGGTTGCCTGAGGGCAGTCCAGAAGACAATGCTCCAGGGTGGCTTGTTCTTAGGTGATGTCAAACCACAGCAAGATGACTTGAGCAGGGGAGGGTGATGATGCTAGGGTTTTAATGAGCAGTTAATCCCCTCGTTAGAGGGCAAGCAATGCTGCTCATCGGCAAGTCTGGGCGTATACTACAAACACATGCTTGTTCAAACAAATGATTACAATGATTCAGGGACACTGGACCCACTTTCCCGCAGGTGTTGCTCCCCACCAATAGATGGAGCCTACCCGAGAGTGCTAGTCGTGTCTGCTCCTATCAGCACCCCTAGCATTAAACCACCAGTACTTCCTAAAGTCGCTACGCGATTTTTGGAAACGTACGGGCCACTACAGGAGCGCCCAAATTCATCCAACTAGAAACGTTTCTACTCTATTTTTCTCCGCGGCTGATAGCTGGGCCAAGTACTGGTGGTTTAACTCGGGCTGTTTTTTGTAAAACAAAAAACAGAAGAAAAAAAAAGGAGCATAGAGGGGAGAGTAGCCCTCACCGCTCTAGGTCTGAGTGCAAAGTCAACCAGTCTGGAGTCGGTAGGCACCCGTGAACAATCTGCCATTGCAGCGCTCTGTGTTTTGCCGGCATGATATGCTAGTATGAATTCCAGGAGAGATTCTCCTACTCGGGTAATTCGAGTGACGAGTCCCTCATCCATCTTTTAAACCACCAGTACTTGGCCCAGCTATAGATGCCGAGCCGTCTGACCCTGCGTGCCAAGTTTTCCCCAACCGCCGCTTTCAACTTCGTTTTGGCTGGCGCTTCCAGCCATTGAGGTCTGGTACCCCTAAGCCCAGAAGTTACGGGGCCGTTAACCACAACGGCCCGCGGCCGATGTATGGGCCAAGTACTGGTGGTTTAACTATTTGTTGCATTGCATGTGCAGGAGGCCCTTTACCAGAGTAAGTTTGTCTTGTAGTCAATGGCCCTTCACTACAGTAACTTGGCCTTATAGTCAATGGCTATTCAGAATAACCCTTAAAGTAGTCAGAATAGGAAAAAAGGAGATGAAAGTGAAGATTAGGCCCTTCACTACAGTAGTCAGAATAGGATAAGAAGAAGAAGAGCACCGGAAGGCGCTTAGCGCACGCGCACCGAAGCCAAGGCGCTTGAACGTGTTCACGTCACAGGCTGACTCGGAACCACATCAGATCCTTGGAAGCTTGATTGTGGGGTCATTCTCCACTCTTCCTGCTTCTTTGGATTCTGCATCTCTTCCTCCATTGCCATCGTATCTAAAGTACGGTAGAAGGCCTTGCAATGTGAACGACGTTCACCATTGATGGACTAAGCGGAGAAAGCCCTGGTAGAAGGAAAGTGTGTGTCATTTGCTGTCAACTCAAGTCTTTTTTAGTAGCACAGACGGCTCATTCTCACGGGAAACTGAAGTCAACGATTCAAGTCAACGACGCATTGTGACGAACCACTTTCTGTAGCGCGCAGTTTTCTGCGCGGTCGCAATGAGGGGTCCTAAGCTGGGAAGGTTGGGCCAATTACGGGAGATTGGGATGGATGGGAAATTGCATCAGTGTCCTCGTTTCTTTGTCTTTTTCGTCGCCTCTTTTCGGATGGTTGAGTTCGGAGYCRRGTGAGYSYYGGGRCGATYGATTGATTGATTGGYTGTGTCTGMRGYGCRCCGTCGAGCGCGCRATTAATAAGTGTTGAYGTCATTTCTTTCCTSGATCGGTTTCGRAAMTTTTTGGGCGCGGACATCGCKYGGGAATTTGCTTCGTTCTTTTTKAATTTTCTTTTCTGAATTCTTTTTCGAATTTTGTCGAGCCCCGATGGCTCTCGGAATTGYGGACTTTCCTCCCGRWACYTGTACTTTTGCTTTTYCGCATTAGTAAGGAATTTAGAAATTTTGTAATTAGGACTTTCTTTTGCCGCGCGRCGCTTTTTGTTTRCGCGCTCTYTTATGCGRCTGCRACGKAATTCTGAGTAGTCGGCGCCTTTAATCGGAYGTGTAACTGTARTTTTGGGYTGGCGYCATTGTAACTGTATCTCTCTTCTTGCGCTTTGTCCTTCCCGCCCTCCTTCTCTTTCTTTCGCTGCGTTTTGGTAGCCACGGTCTGCATGCTTGGATCGATGCGTGGAGAAGGGCTACGTCCCCCACGCCGCGGCCCGGTCATGCAGAACGTAGGCACTCCCTCTCTAATCTCTCTCCTAAGTCCTAGTAATTCCGTGTTCTTCGCGCACGCATGCACGCTATAAATTTCGGTTGCGCGATTAGTTAGCTCTCTTAACCAGCAAGTTGGAAGCTCAGGGTTGCGCAATCAGAGACGGTCGGCATACGAGCGAAGTAAGAGGTGAGTAGAGCAGGAGTCGGGCGACCCAACGAGCTGGTGCCAAACGCGCAGGGTTGACGAGGGCCACGACGGACTRTGGGCGCGGGCGAACCTGACAGGTGCGGGAGGACTAAGCGGGGTGACGGCTTCGTGGGTTGGTGCGCGACGACGGACTGTCCGCATCGGAGAGAGAGAGAGAGGAGGAGGGAGCTGAGGTTGATGGACGCGGTTTTGCTGTTTCTTTTATCTTTTCTCCCTCCTGTCTCGTGTACATAAATTTTKATTTCGGYTCCGGGCAATTTGCYCGTTTTTCAATTTCTCRGAATTTGGACYYGGATTTTTGCTCACACTTGTCTTMGYGRTTTTCATCTCTRAGGYCCTGCGTGTATGCGCTGRATGAATGGATGTATGGATGTATGTTTGGTTGCTCATCGTTTTGCCGAATCCTTGCCTTTGCCTTTGATTATTGCGTTTGATGCACTCATGAGTAGGATAGGAATTTTGCGCAATCGGTAATCCTGTTCTCATTTTGTTTGTATTTTTGATTTAGCTATTGTGGTTATTGCATCTTGCATACTCAAAACAGCGTGGAGTGATTAGACGATCGGATGCCGGGCTCAGCGAACACCACACGAGGACATGTGTACACGCGATCCGAGTTGCGCACTTACACGTATCCCCGTGTGTCGGCTCGTCAAATCTCAAAAGGAATTACCAATTGCGAGGATATTGTTTGATCGAACGTGGCAGTTTTGCGTCTAGTGGCGAAGCTATTGTCCCGTATAAGCACGAGTAGGCACGACCCGATTGCGCGGCCTGCACGTGCTCACACACGGCGATCGCTTTCGGCAAGGACCTGCCCTCATGCACCTTGTAGCTCTGCAATGACACGATGACACGATCCTGGAATTCAGACTCATCATACAACCCAAATTACTTCACCCCTTGGATAAACGAACTCCTTCGACAGCGATACCCCTGTCTAGCCGAGAACCGACTGTGTCCTCGGGAATTTCACTTCGCCACCACTGGCGACCCCCGGTGCTCTGATTTCCCCTCTCCGGACCATACCTACTACTTCACCCACCCCGGATTTGTCGTTATCTCCACCTGTTTCCCTCCCTTCCGCCTTCTTCTTCCGTATCACTAACTCAGCGTCGTCCCGTGGCCGGCCATAGCCCCATACTGGCCCAGTACGCCCTGTGGAAACTGCAGACGACGTGGCGATCCGAGGACCCCGGAACCCTGGAGGCCCAACCCAAACACGTGACGACCGACGCCACGTGGCAACTCCCGACGGCCTGACCCATCGGAACCCCACCTACCCTGGAGAGACCCTCCCGCGAACCGCCGTCCTCGAAACCAATGGCTCACCCGACCTTGAGTGGCCCGTGCATACCACCTGCCCGAGGCGGTCCGCCCTCCACGCCAAATTGCACTTGTGCCCCCGAAAAAACCTGCCACAGGAGATCTTAGTTCTGACCTGGGACTCCATTTCCCCCAAAAATCCTTGGCACACCCCTTTTCGCACTTCCAGACCCACATCCCACACCGATCAGGAAGTCGCGTTGGGCGTGAGGTTGGTATCGGAGCCCGACATGTGGCCGGGTTTGAGGATTAAGAACACACTAATTGGGCGATCTGGCTAACCGAGGATGACCTCGGCCCCGGAACGCGCATAGACGCGACCCCATCGTCACCCGAAGTAGATCGGTTAATCGACGAGCAGCCAACATAACTACTAACATACAGAACCCGAACTCACATCAGAATGCTAATCAACCGAATCCTAATCAACCCGCCCCACGTGCACGGGCTCCCATGACACCACCTGATCTATATCTATTTGACCATGCGCACCACCTTGCAGGAGCATGGTTGGCCACGCTCCGAGCACAACAGTATGACGATAACGAAGCTCAGGTAAACATCCCTGCTCGGTTAGGAGGAGACACTCATCACTAGTTTAGTACCTATGTGTGGGTAGATCTTCAGACCTTCGAACGAGACTTTCTTAACCGATTTGATTACGTCCACCCGAAGCAAGCACTTTACATGATCAAGGACCGAGTGCAAACACCTCTCGAGTCCGTTGCGGAGTATCGAAACCAGTTCTACCAAATGTTCGTGAAAACTGAGCGAGGTGAGCAAGTAGGGAGAGATTTGTTCATAGGCGGACTCCGCAGCCGAACAATAAGAGCGAAGCTGCGAAAGCAGTTTCCCCCCATTAATCATACCCTGCAACAGCTCATGGCCGCTGCGGAAGAGATGGAATGAAAGTTCGCAGCGAACTTCCTGGAAGGAGAAGACTACTCTAGGGAAGGAGATTCGTCCGAACTCATAAGGGCCAGAGCTGAACTGGCTGCGCTGCAAAACAAATTTGAAAACATGGGGTTTGTGTCAGGACATGCCGCGCCCCCAATTGAGACTCCCGCACGATCGAATGAATCAACTGCCATACTCGAACTGACAAAAACATTGGTTAGTCTAATCCAGGAAAGCAAAAAGGAACAACGGGAGCATAACGCTCGATTAGAAGCTATGATGAGGAACATGTGGCCTATCGCAATACGCGTCCCTCCAATCCAACAAGGACTGGCCCCGACGCCTGCTCTCGGGGGAGCCGCGAACAATCTGAATGTCTGTTATGCATGCCATCAGCCAGGGCGTCTAGCCCGTGACTGTCCCCACCGACCCCCGCAACAACGGGTCGGGGTCGCACCAATGGCAGCGGCCCCCATCGCTAATGGACCAGGGAGGGTAGGTGCCCTCATGGAGGAAATGGAAGGGGTGGGAAGCGCACTAGCAACCACGGAAGAGGCTGCTGAGCTCATTCCGTTAGATCAATATGTGTCGCTTGGTTATCCGAGGCTTGGAATGATAGGAACAATCCGACCAGCCCCGGAACAGAAGGAGGTGGCGGAGTGGCGACCTTCTCCCGGAGAAATGGAGTCGGAAGGATCCACCTTCGTCACTGGAGAAATTGATGTACTGAACATCGTCCGAGCTCTAGACCATCGGATTCCACTCTCGATCGGCCATTTGCTCTCAATCTTGGAACAAGCTAATGAGCGGATGTTGCAACACTGCAAGGCGAATGGCGAATCGGAAACGATTTGCCTTGGCTCGAACACCGAACGTAAAGACCAAAAGCCCCTCGCCGGAAGAAAATACGGAGGGCTCGTCGGATCCGATACGGGTAGGACTAATACAGAAAGATTATCATTTCCTACGGATTAAACCCTTCCCCTGGAAATCTGCGGAGTGCGACATTGAAATCTGGGGAATTCCGTACAGTGCAATCATCCGACTCGGGAGCCGCTGTTTTGGCTATCTCGCTGAGAGTAGTCGAGAGGGCAGGTAGGAAAAATGACCTGATCGTGATTTCGGAAAAATATCAGCTCGTATCGGCGGATGAAGAGAAGATTAAAACAGTGGGAAGAATGACCAATGTCGCTTTTCGATTGGGAAAGGTGCATGCACTAGGGGATGTCGTGGTACTAGATGTAAATACCTACGACGTTCTTTTCGGACTTCCTGCCCTTGTGGCATTACGAGCGAACCTAGATTTCGAACGACGGTCAATCATCCTTCGAAATACAGGGGGAAAGCCCTATGTAGTTCCTATGAGACTGACCCTTCGTACTACCCTCAGTGCCTGTCTCTTATACACATCTAGATGTGTATAAGAGACAGACCCTATGTAGTTCCTATGAGACTGACCCTTCGTACTACCCTCAGTGCAGTCCCGCGAATCTCGCCAATGATAGCGGGGACTCTTCGCATGATCACTTGGGAAGACTCCGCAGACGATGAGTCATCATCGAAGGATGCGGATAGCAGCGATGAAAATGATTTGGAAATTCTGAAGCTAGCACAACAGCGTATTTATTACCCACCGCCCAGAACGATCGCAAGAACGATGCATCTAACCAGTAGGAACACCCAAAGGACCAAGGCGATGAGTTTGGGAGAACCCCTCGTACAAATTTCGAGGATGGTCGATTCTTTGGAACCCCCTCAAACCCTGTACGAAGGAATTTCCTCTCTCCTCGCCCGATACAACGATAAAAAACACTATTGCGATATAACGGATCTTCTGAAATCCCTGCTGACACCGGCAAAAGAAGTACGATTGCTACGCTTGGGGGCAGAAGCCAGTTCTTTGGAACCCCCTGGGCGTCTTGAGGCTGAATTAGATGAACTCGGAGTAAAAATTGCAACCAAAACCATACCGTGGCAGGATATCTGCGATGGGATCACCCCGGAAGGACACGTGGTCATCCAGGAAGAAGACGCCCAGATGATGGCCACGGTGTTCTCCTAGCGATCGGACCATTCGTTCATCTCGGTGCCACCGCCCGATGTGGCGAAACAAACACGCGCAAAGCAGATCGACGTACGGATCTGGGACCAACTTTTTGAGTTACACGTGCCACAATACGTACCCTATGAGATACACCGAGTGATTGTGGACATTCTGATAGAATATCAGGGAGCGATTAGTGTAACCGACACTGATATTGGCTTGTCGTTGGTAATTCAACACGAAATACAAATGAAAAATCATTCCCCCATCCACTGCAAGCCCTACCGATACTCCCTGATAGAACGGAAGAAGGCTCTCCAACGAATTCGCGAATTCGAAGCAAGCGGGTGGATTGAACCGACCACCGGACCACGGTCGTTTCCAGTAGTGTTAGTACCAAAGAAGAACGGATCAATTCGCATATGCATTGATTATCGCAAGTTAAATGAAATCACGATTAAAGATGTGCATCCCCTCCCTGAATTGATGATTTGCTGGATGCGATTGGATGCACTAATTATTTTAGCAAGTTTGATATTCGGCATGGCTTCCATGACATTCTGGTTAAAGAGGAAGATCCGCCAAAGATGGCCTTTGTGGTTTTCAAGGGTACGTGGCAGTGGGTTCGGTGTCCGATGGGGATTTGCAACACGCCTGCCACATTCCAGCGAGCGATGAACATGACGTTCCAGAACTTCGTCAACAAGACACGGCTAACTCAGGGAATGATTAACTTCTGCGTGATTGTATATATGGACGACATCCTCGTCTACTCGGAAACCTATCACGGACATGCGCAACACATCGAGTGGACGTTGGGAGCGCTTAGAGACGCTGGGTTCAAGATCGCACTCGAAAAAAGCGAATTTTTCCTATCGAAAATTTCGTTTTTTGGTTACGTCGTGACACGTGAAGGATTGCGGTCGGACTCTAGGAAGGTCGCGATGGTGAGAGAAGCCCCGGTTCCCACGTCACTGACGCAGGTTCGAGCCTTCTTGGAATTGGCCTCGTACTATCTTCGTTTCATCAAACGCTCTGCCACGATTGTACGGCCACTAACGAATCTGTTACGAAAGGACCAGCCCCTCAGTTGGGACGCAGAGTGTGAACAGACCTTCGCAACCCTCAAAGACGCTCTGGCGACGACACCTATTTTGATTCGACCGGACCCCTCGAAACAGTTCATTCTTATCACAGACTGGCAACCGGAAGCTATTTCCGCTATTCTAGCGCAGAAGGACGATGGTCGCGAAAATGTCATCGAGTACGGGTCGCGCACGGTGCCAGACGAGAGGAGAAATGACTCAGCACCCCAAGGCGAACGCTATGCAGTAGTCTGGGGAATTCAACACTTCCATTCGTACCTCTACGGGCAGAAGTTCCGCCTCGTGACGGATCATGAACCCCTGCTGGCCTTGAAGAAGCTCACTAATTACACGGGCATGATTGGACGATGGGCGGTACGACTACAGGAATACGACTTCGACATCATCCACCGGAAGACAGAAAGGCACGACAACGCGGACGGACTGACACGTCTGCATCGGTCCGCTAAAGTACCAAAGGGCAAGGAAATCACCCCGTGGAAGGAGTCAGAACCGGCAAACGGGCCAAGGTACGGACAAGTGGCAGTTCTCCCACGTGGCAAGAAGCAGAATGGTGGCAATGGGTGACGGAGGTAATCTCACTACCCCTCTTTCTCCCATCTCCTCTTCGTCTACTATCTCCCTTCCTGATAAATTTTGCTATTTTTGCGAAGCAATTTCTCACGTATACTCTGTCTCCATGCGTCCTAACGGGGAAGGGTATGCGGAATGGATAGACTGCCGACAGTGTGTTGCACGAGCCCATGGCTCGTGCATCCAATGCCGAAACGACAGTAAACCGTGGTTATGTACCTTGTGTAGGGTTGACAAGATCCCAACCGAGACTCGCTTTCTGGACGCCACGTCAGAAGGGCTGGAAAAAACTCGGAAATTTAGAAGGGCCCAAGTATGGACCGACATCGCTTTGATTGCCACCTTAGTCGGTAACCCCCTCCAGGATTTCACCAAGGACAATCGGAGGAGGGCTACGAAAAGGGCTCGGGATTATCGATGGGTAGGGGGTAGGTTAGAAAAACGGAAACGGACGGCAGTGGGATTTGGATGGTTGTACCGCATTCATTCATGAGGTACGACTGGGTGAAGACCGCGCATGAGGAAACGACAACTTATTTTGCTGTACGGATTACAAAATCAGCAATCGACAAAAACGAGTGGTATTGGTCCAATATCCAGAACGATGTGAAATTCATCGTCGCAAACTGTCAAGTCTGCGCTGCTGACAAGGCGCCGATCCAGCCGCCAAGATCGATAGTTCCAACGGTAGTCGAACGGCCGTTTCAGAGGGTGAGCATGGATACTACCGATATCGTGGTACCCCCAGGTCCTAATAGCTGTGAGTATTCAGTCCTATTGGTATTTGTCGATCACTTTTCGAAATGGATCGAGGCCTACCCGTGTCGCATGCGACAAGCCGCCGAAATCGCGCGGTATGTTAACCGTTTTCTCGGGATGCACCAGGATACGAAAAAGATCCTGACCGATAATGGGGCAGAATTCAGAGGGGAAGTATGGAGGAACCTGGTCATACACGGTGTCGCTGTGCGGAACACAGCACCCCATATGTCACAATCTAATGGGCTGGTAGAAAACGCCAACAGGGTGTGCGACGAAACATCGAGGCACGGGATCCGAGGCCCTGGCCTGATATCATCGACCACATCCTAGCGGTCCATCGAGGAACGCCCCACGAATCGACGGGCCTGAGCCCCTTCTAATTAAGAACCACTAGTGTCGCTTGTGTTTCAATACCGAGCCTCCCCGACGAATCAACGCTCAACCGTCGGCCCACAAGGGCCACAGCGTGAGACAAGGCCAAGCGGCACCTAGAGTTAATGGAACGGTCCCTCCCCGGGCTAGCCCGAAAACGCCAGAAAATGACCGAGTTGGCCCATGGCCGACAGACCCGAAGCTACGAGGCCCGGAACGGGAACGCAGGTCCGCGGCCTAGTACAAATTAGGGGACATCGTGCAGGTGAGGAAATGTGCTCGCCAGGGCAAACTAGCACCACGATTCTTCGGGCGATTCCGCGTGATCGAGCTCGGACCCAACGGCGTGAACACCGTACGGTTTGCGCCTGAGGTCTCTGGCAGCAGATCGGCTCGTCCGATCATCCGCCACGTGTCCTACCTTCGTCCCCTCCCTCCTTCTCCATCCTCGCATTCATTCGACTCCTCCTCCACTGCAGAAGAGGACGACGACTGTTTATCGCCTGTCTCTCCGTCTCCCTCTCGTTCTCTTTCCATTACTCCGTCTCCCCCACCATCGCCATGAGTTTTCTTACGGAGCGAGCTCTCGACAATTCTCTGCTGGTGCCACGGTGTCACATCTCGGCGATTCGACAAGTTCATCATCCGCGGCTCAATCCAGATCTTCGGCGACTTGCGCAGTTCTTCTGTACCCAGGGAGTGTACGCGACTGCTGAATTTTGTTTTGTGGGAAGTCCCCGGGCGGTTGTTCTAGTAGAGGCGGTAGGAGTTCATCGGCGATCAGCGCCGGGAATCAGCCACGTGTGTACGGTGGTCGCCTTCAGTGGCGACATCAGCACCATCGGACCGTTGCGGCATACAACTATCAAGTCGACGCTCCGGCTGTGGGCACAACAGTTGGCGGCAGAGTGGAATCATTGGCTCATGCCTCATGGAGACAACCTTTTCTCTACGGACGACGTCGATTTCGACGGGATCCGAACCTTCTAGCACGAGCCGGCGGTGGTGCTCCCGGAACTCATCCCATTCCCCCGTCCTCAATGAACCCATCCCCGATCTCCACCTTCGATCTCCCCTCCTTCTTTCCCACCTTCTGGCAGTCCGGAGTCCACCCGCATCTTTCCTTTCGTCTGGAATCACTTGCTGTCCCCCTCCTCGACCCCTTGCAGTGGAGACGTTGGCGAGAGCATTTCGTAGAGCTATCGGTGTGTCTGGTCGGGGTAAGAGTCACGTGGACGCGACAGGCGATCACCGTAAGTGGGCCGAGTACCTCGAGCTGCTGATCATCCAAGCGTGGCGAACGGAAGTGGAAGGCGATCTGCTCGGATTCCTCTTCGGATCGGTGCGGCCTGATCACCGCCAACCGATCGCGCACGAGTTAACGATCCCCCTCGCACAACTGGCAGACAATCTCCCTCTTGAGATCGTTTCGCAAAGCGACGACAGCCCGGTCCCGCACGTTCTCACGCGGACCTTGGCGCCGTATCCTCAGTGGTCGGCGTGCTTGGAGGAACCTGGAAGCAGCCGTAACCCGCCGTCACAACGCGGTTACCTGGACCCACACGAGATAATCGACTTCACCTTCTTCCAAGATCGGACAGCCTCCGAGAATGAAGACGTAGAAATTGAAGCGGAAGAAGAGAGCCCAGAAGAGGAAGAAGTCGAAGAAGAGGCCGACGAGGAAGAAACTCCCGAAGAAGGGAGTTACAGTGAGCACAACGAGGGTGAGCAGAGTGAAGAAGAGGAGGAGGAAGAGCCGGGCGATGAAGAAGAAGAGGAAGACCAAGAGGAGCTGGAAGAATCAGAGTGCGAAGGATTTGAGGAAGAACTGCGTGACGAGGCTCGAGCGCAGGCTCAGGCGTAGAAGAGGGAAGAGATCGTGGCCGGAAAAAGACAGTTGGAATTCGCCATCGCAGCCGGTCAACCGCTCACCGACGATCCGGCTCGGGATCCAGAACCGCCTAAGCCCGAGGATGGAGAGACAACTGGCGAGACTTCGGCCGCACCAGCAAGGCGGCGACGGAGCCGATCCCCCTCCCCCTCCACCACCGACCGCCCATCAACTCGTCCACGTACTGATGCGGGGCATCGGGCTTCGTCCCCGGTCCTTATCCCGCTGTCCCCTTGATCACCTCTCCTTCCGCCAGATCACTACCCGCGCCACCTTCCCCGCCAATCCTTTCCCCATCGATACCTTCCGCTTTTTCTACACTACCCGCCTCGCTGTCACCATTCATCCCCACCCTTCCACTCGATGCGCCCGCCCCGTCTTCTGCCTCCATATCCTTTTCCTCAGTGCCTCGTGGCGGGGCCACAATATGATCGAGGTGTATTGCATGATTACGGGCACTATCCCCGCATGCGAAAACCACAATCACTTCGCGCGGCCCTCTTCCGAACCTTCACCACCCTCTACCCCGACTACCTTGCGTCCCTCCCCCACACAGCAGAGATGAGCATTTTTCTTTTGAAATACCACTTCACCCAACCCACCCAAAAATTTGCTAGTACATGCAACCCTTAAAAATAAAAATAAAAAGGTTTGAAGCTGATCCAACCCACCCAATCATTTTTTTTATTTTTTCCGCCCACGCCCAACCCACCCGCCATCCGTAAAAAAGGTTCACCCAGACCCACCCGCACCCGCAAGAAAATCATTGCCCGCCTGCACCCGGGATGTAATATCTTTTCACCCGCAGCTGGCCGTGCCCGCTATTGTCTATCCCTTCTAACATTTACAAACAATAGGACATTATGACGTGACATGTCAAAATCAAACACGCTCCAAGAGAGAGAGAGAGAGAGAGAGAGAGAGA